ACCTCATTGTGGCAGAAAAATCAGCGAGCCTGGGGGCATTTCTCTATAACAGCCGGATTCGATGAGGCCTCTCTGTTTTCTTCCTCTCCCATAAGACTGTGCAGGCTTAGTTACTGTCCTCTCTCAAGCCTCTCTCTAGCCTAACAAGGCACTCTGCTCCAAAAAGAACAGTTTTCATTTCTCTAGGTCTACCCTTCCACCCTCATGCTGTGTCAGAGACTCCCGAGTGAGAAGGTTCGTAGCTTCTGACCTGCAACATACTTGCTGAAGCAGGTGTCTGTGCTTCCGATAAGGTCACGCGAAAGTTTATACATAACATCCTTCACTCTCTAGGGTAACGTGGGTATGAGTTCAAGGTGAATATTGTTGGTTTTATTTTGATATTCTTCTGACAAAACTGTGTGACTCCATGTGGGCTGAACGTTGGGTACTGAGGGTATAAATGGTTGAAATACTTCTTTGCTCTGGGCTGGTCTTCAATCAGCTCTCTGCGAGCTCTTGTGGACTAGACCAGGCCACTCTGTATTTCACACGAGTGCAGTATGCTTGTTTTGAAGCCAGTTGGGTGTAGTGGGTTAGGTGCGCGGACTCTAATCTGGGAGAACCAGCTTTGATTCCCCAGTCCTCCACTTACAGCTGCTGGGTGACCTTGGGCAAGTTCTGTCAAAGCTGTTCTCTCAAGAGCAGTCCTGGAAAGAGCTCTCTCAGCCCCACCTACCTCACAGGGTGTCGGTTGTGGGGAGGGGAAGGGAAAGGAGTTTGTAAGCTGCTCTGAGACTCCGAGTGAAGGGCGGGTATAAATCCAATCTCCTCCTCTCTTCCTCCTCCTATGATGAATATGGAAGTGTTATCTTTTTATCCTAATAGATACGTAAGTGGTAAAGTGCTCTCTGTCCTTAGGAAGCTTATATTGTAAATAACCTGGTTTTGTTTGAGAACTCTGGTCTCTGTTGATTCAGTCGATCCCTTGCCAATCTCCACCCAACCAAGAAAAGAACTGAAGGGGAATGGGAGGGTCCCAGGGAAATAGCCCCAGGGTCCCAGAACACTCATCTCTCCCACCTGGACTGTAGGTATGGCTGCCGTTTCCAGACCTCTGAAAAGATGACAGCTCAACAGCATCTCTTCACTGCCTGTTTGTGAAACAAAGGAGGAAGGAAGGGTGTTCGCTCGCTTGTTCCCTGCTTCACACAACCCCTTCCCTGTGTACACTCAACACATTTTTAAACACTTTTGACTGGATTCTGGGAGAGGCCGAAGAGAAGCACACGGTACGCATAACCCTCAGGGATGATAAATGTGGCCAATAGATTTCAGACTTCTGTGAGACTTGTGTTTGCTCTGCGGGGAGGGGAAGACGTTGCACGACACGTCACCGTCACATTCGAACCAGACATGACTTGAACGTCTCTGGAGACTCAAGGGTCATATGACTGAGTTTTCAGAGTGTCTCTTGGCACGCTCACCTTCCAGACAGATTTTCAGCCAGACGCAACATCAACATGACATCACATCTGCCCCAAGCCCCTCCCCAAAGCTGCCGGGGTTGCCGGGCGACAGGCCGCCTCCCGTTCCCCAGCATCCTGTTTCCCACAGTGGCCTGCCAGATGCCCCTTGAAGCACAGGCACAGAAGCCAAATTCCCCCAATATTATGCCCCCCCCCCGAGGAACCGGTTTTCAGAGCTCTGCTGCCCCAGAAGGTGGAGGCTCCGTTGATCCGCCTGTCTGAATAGCTCTACCGAGGTTTGACCACCCCCCCCCCCCCCCTCGGCAACTTGATTTCTTTTTATGAAAGGAAGGTTAGAGATGAACTTTTTAATCAGTGGGAGAAATTGCCCTTCAGGAATTTGTCTAATCTCCTTTCAGAGCCATCAGAGTTA